ATATTTTATTGTCTATATGCCCACTATGATATAACACAAAGCAATTTTAAATAACATTCTCACATGTATAATGTATTATGCTTGAAGTTAATTTGCATGGTTTTATTTTAGAAATATTTCATTGACAGTTTTTTTCTATTTACATAATTTATCATTCCTTGGAATGAATCGATAAGGACACTGATTTACAAGTTTGACCAGAGTTTTTAGGCATAACAGGCCTAGACATTAACTTTTGAATCAGGTTGTCCTGTCGGGCAAGTAGTTTTTAAAACTACTTGCCCTGACCTAAGACTTACTTGTCCTGACCTAAAAATGGTAAAAATGTATAAAACAGAAAAACAAACAAGCTCATACATTAATACTTCTTGTATTAGGTAATGTTAACATAAGGCAATAAACTGGACATAATGTTTATGAAATTGATTGTTAGTTAGACACAAATATTTTTTGTATTTAGTAGTTTTTCTAAAACATCGGTTCATCTGTTTATTTAATGTGAATATACTACGGTCATGTACATTTGTTGATATAGGAAACGGAAGGAAAAATATAAGCATGCGCCGCGGTAAGGTAATTCCCCGTTCAATCATCAAGTCAACAGCCGTAAATGAGTCTTCGTTGATTAAGTTCATAATGTTGTTATATTAGATTAAACAATAAATCATTTTAAATGCAAAAACTTTATTTAACAATTATATTTAAAGATCAATATGATTATTTACATATTTTCAATGATATATTTACATGCAAACATCAAAATTTAAACAACAGCATAACCCGGGAATTACCTTGTACAAAATTAGATAATTATAGTCTATTATTAGAACGGGGAATTACCTTACCGCGGCGCATGCTCATATTTTTGCTTCCGTTTCCTATATCAACAAATGTACATGACCGTAGTATATTCACATTATTGATAATGATTCATGGTGTATTTTTGTTTTAAAGATGTTTATAAATGAAAAGATGTTATTTCTATTCATTTTGTACATGCATTTTGTCAATATGCTTTTTATTTTCACTTGCCCTGTCGGACAAGTGCTTTTCAAAATAACTTGCCCGGACCAAACTTTTAGTTGTCCCGGGCAGTCAGACAACCGTTAATGTCGAGCCCTGCATAAATTTCCTTCTGTATAAGTAGAAACTCTGAATTACATCAGATTGGGACACATAAAATTTATTGCTCTACAAATCTCGAACTTGTATGGAACAAATTTTCTCTGTTATATCTTTTGTGTTGTTTTTTTTCTAAAAAAAGCCTTAATGTCTCTCCGGTTGCATGTCCGTCGCATTCAGTGCTACAGCACTTTGATTTAATTAGAGAGTGCCAACGGAAGATATTTTAGGCAGCATTTATTTAATTTACCTTTCTATGGCTGCATAATTAATACGAAAAAAATAGGGATACCAAACCAGAAAATTTGGATATGGATATGTTTAACTTTTACAAGTTATGGATGCATCAAATTCCAGTTAATTTATACAAATAAAAAATTCAATTTAAATCTTAATGCAAAAAATAAAATAAAATTTTATATGATATACATGCTAATTTATAGCTGTTTAACATGGATTCTTATTTTATTTACATAAAATAAACTGCCAATGTTAAATTGTCTGCATAAAGTTTAAACTGAGGCGTTCAACCGATTAGATTTTTAAAACTAAGGCAGCAGAAGTTGTCCCCCCTTAATTTTTTTTACGAAAACAAATCATTATAGAACTGTTGCGATTTATTATTAAGGGATTGACAATACAAACAATAGACCTATCTTTCATGTCTAGATTGTAGCCATGCTAGGAATTGCCTCATTTTCTTGAAAATTTACTACACTAAAATGGCGATCAACTGTCAGACCTAGCACACTAGTTCCGGTTGGTACGAAACATTCCGTGAATTTCCATCAACTCGCGTAACCCTTACCATATGGTACTAAATTATTATAATGAGCTTACAGTTACTTCCCTTCGGTTTCCGGTGTAATGTAAACAAAACAACCAAATATAATGCAGGATGGAAGTTTAACGATTTTATAAACTTTTTTTTATAGATGCGCGATTTTCACGCACATGATTTTGAATTTTGCACGATCTGTGAAATACTAGCGTGAATCGCGCAATCGCGCATCCTAGAATAGACACTGTATATGCATATACTAAAAACTTAAAAAATCTTCCTTTAAAGAACTCAAAGAGCTAGAGCTAAGATATTTAGGAAGAAACATGTTCTAATGGGCTTCTACTAAGTTTGTTCAAATAAGAGCCCTAGGGTCAAAATTCGCCCCGCCCAGGGGGTCATTGATTTTCCTTATATGTGTATACATAACAAAACTTAAAAAATCTTCTTTGAAAAAACCCAAATAGGTAGAGTTTAGATATTAAGCATGAAACATTTTCTACTGAGTGTCTACAAAGTAAGTTCAAATAAAAGTCCTGGTGTCAAAATTGGCCCCGCCCGGGGGGTCATTGATTTTCCTTATACAGTCCACATTGTATTAAGAGACCACTCAAGGGACTGTCAAAAAGTGGTCTCTTAATAAAGTGGTCTCTCAATAGAATTCTGGAAAATTCGAGACTTTTTATTACAAGTCATAGATATAATAACATATTTTTTATAAAAACAAAAACTATACAATATTATGTATGTATTACAGTTTTATAATTACATTTATGCCTTTTTTTTTTAAAAAAAGTCATCAATATTGTTTGTTTTTGTTTTTTAGTAGAAATTTGTGTACAAATGTGATCTACGCTCATAATACTGTCAACAGGTCATTTTGACCATGAAACAAAGCATATTGTCTTATATTTTTAATATGTTCATACACATCTCCTGCTGAACATACTTTAGAATCATCAGCCAGAGCTCCAGATAATTTTTTATGCAATGAGTTTTAAACTTCTTGATTGTTTCAACAATTTGTTTTCACACTACCCCGATTTCAAATTCAATAAGATTTTTAGAGATCTAGGATTTTTTTGTCTTTTTTTTGTCGAAGGGTCATATTTAATGGGATACTAAATGTATTTTATAAAGCATCAGATGAGCACCTACACCATCAGCAATGAAAGGCTCGGTTCTGTAATGTTTAGTCCACTACGTTTCACGATTTTATTTCGACTACAATCGATGAAATTTGCTATTTACTCAGACTCAATTCCATGCATGATTTACTCATACAATTTATCCGGTCTTATTAGTTGTCTGTCTTTTTTTCGCTCGATCCGACGTCATTTTTTGATAAGGGAGGTCACTCTGAGCACATGACAAAACCATGCAAATGCGGTGTTGTGATACGTTATTGCTCTGACAAAATATGTCACAATAAATATTACTATCGGAAAATCCGATTTTGAAACGATTGCAATAGTTATTCATTTCGTTTTTAAACGACAATTATTTGTGACCAATGACCATGAAAAATATTTGTTTGTTTGCTTGTACACATCTAACCTACTCGCTAATTACACAGGTGAGAATGCCCGCAGGGACGATTGTTTGTCACGGCCGTTTAATAGATACTTTAACTCTTAATTTTGTACATTTGGGCCGACATTCAGTGGCCGCTGGCCGCGATATAAAATAGTCGTTTAATGGAATTAAATTAAATAGTAAAAATCATCGGGAGGGATTTTATGCGGCCGCTTAATAAAAAATTCGCTTAATAAAGGTGGACGCATGTACGATGCCGACTGTATGTGTATAGCAAAAACTTAAAAATCCTCTTTGAAAAAACTCAAATAGCTAGAGTTTAGATGTTAAACATGCAACATCTTCTAGTAAGTGTCCACAAAGTTTGTTAAGTAAAAGCCCTGGGGTCAAAACTGGCCCTGCCCAAGGGATGTCATTCTTTTTAACTATATGTGTAAAGTAAAAACTTAAAAAACTTTAAAAAACCCAAATGAGCTAGAGCTTAGATGTTTAGCATGAAACATCTTCTTATGGGTGTCTACCAAGTTTGTTCAAATAAAAACCCTTGAGTTAAAATTGGCCCTGCAAGAGTGGGGGAGGGGGGAAGGTCATTATTTTTCATTATGTGTGTGTAGTAAAAACTTAACATCATGAAACATCTTCTAATGGGTGTCTTCCAAGTTTGTTCAAATAAAATCCTTGGGGTTTATACTGGCCCCGCTCCGGGGGCCTAAATACAGGTGAGCGACCTCAGGGCCATCATGGCCCTCTTGTTTATCATTAGAGGAGTCAACTTACCTAAAGTTAATTGTTTGTCAACATCATGTACAATCTTTCATTTCTCTTCTTTGCTACTAAAACCTGTTGACCACACATGTATTTATCAGTGTTCAAAGTTGGAGGGTAAAGACGTAAATTATTCCAATTAACATAATTACACTTTAATCTGACACATTCAGATAGTTTGATAAACAAACTAATTGTGCATGACCTTTCACATTTGTGCGGCTTATGTAATTTACATGGCCGCTTATTGATATTAACTGTGCTAGTTGTCGGATACTTTAACCTTACGTTGAGGCCAATAAAATTCGCAAATTAAAGGTTTTATGTGCCAGAATTAATATTTTGTTTTATTTGCCACCACGGGGGAAAGACAATCCTTGCAGAAATATGACTTTTTAAGAGAAAGGCCTGGCATAGCAGTATTGTGCAAACTATAATCATCGCACCTTGTGCAATTTTAATGTGTCAATTTTCGTAAACGTGCGATATTCTCGCAAATCACATGCCTTTTCCTGTCTCTGATTAACTTCATACAATGGTCAAGCCCAATGAGAGGAAGTGCAGTGTACAATAACCATTACTCTGTCTTCAGTATTTGCAGAGTTTATTGACCTTTGTTCCTTTTCCTTGTCCGGTGCATAACTAAAAAACTAATGTTTAAAATTCATTGCAACTTCATACAATGGTCAAGCACAATGAGAGGAAGTGCAGTGCTCAAGGAACTTAACTCTAGTACTAGATAGTTCTAGTTGCTATTAGACAATGTTAGATTATAATTGTTAATATTTTTTTGTAGGCTAGAGCATTTAAGAAATTCTTGCCCATGTTTGATCGTGTTCTGGTTGAAAGGTTTGCTGCAGAAACAAAGACTAAGTCAGGAATAATGATACCAGATAAAGCTCAGGGTAAAGTTCTCGAGGCCACAGTTGTTGCAGTTGGAGGAGGTGCCAGAAAAGTAAGTCCTGTAGGGTAAATTCCATTAAAAATAGTTAAATTTTTGAAAGAATTTTGTTACAATCTTTCTGATATCTATTTTGTTGATGCATATATTTGTAAAATAAATTCCTCTTCATTATTGTGTTAAACTAATTGATTTCTGGATCAAATCATTGTGCTATTTATATTCTATGCACACCAGGTAGAAACTGGTAAATTATGGATGCATTACTGTTAACTATTTAGGGATTGTAACACAAAATGGTCATTATCATGATTGACTATGGCTGTGTCACATGTAATTTAGGTCAATATATGGAAGGTCAAGGTCACTAAAATGCTGAAATATCCAGATTTTGTCAAGCATATCTCCTACATGCATAAATTTCTTTTATTGATAGTTTATACAAATATCCTTCACTATGAGACATATTGCTCTACACATGATCTAGGTCTCTAGGTCAAAGGCCACTCTTAAGAGCTAATTAAAAAATGCTCAGCGTTTTCTTTCTCTACTTTGGGAATGGTGCCGGTACCAGACTGATTGGGAAAAAAATGCGTTATTTTGACTAAGATTGGGAATTTTTTTAATGCATTTTTTCAGCTACAAATGAGATTAGACATCATGAATAAAGATAGCTAACAGCTTCTACTGTCCAGATAGAACTATTGAGTGGTGATTTATATGAATATGTTGGATTTAAATGATTTAAGAAAAATCACTTGGCCTTGTGGGCATTTTGAACAGCCATTTTCAGTGTGGCAATACCACGTGACATTGACGTCATTTTCGGCATCATTTCCAAGACAAATGTTGCTCGATTTGGAAAAGAAAATAGCCGTAAATATTTTATTTCTGTACCAATTTCTTTGGGATATGCACCAGTCTACGGGGAAAAATATAAGCTTTCCATAGAATATTGGATCTTCGTCAGTATATAAGCCGTTTTATCAAACACTTTGCCTAACCTTGGAAGTTGCTTGTTTTAGAGCGGGCTTCAGTTGCAAGCTATTTCGTTTTCTGGCGTTATCTGGTCTACGCCATGATTAAAAAGTCAGGTTTACATCAACCGGGAGTACGGAAGGCAAAACTCTACCTAAATATGTTCATTTTTTTTATTATGAATGACATAAATCTTACATTTTTCTTCAATTGTCAAATCTGGCGCCAGTTACAAGTCGAAAAAAAAGGACTACAGTTTAAAGCCGATTTTAGAATCCGTTGCAAATGCGAAGCAACATGCCTACCGTTCTCTTTCTATAATTATGTTAACCATGAAAAACTTTTTATTTTCTATACAATTTACATAAACACAAATGAATATTTAAATAATTTTTCCTCGCTGCGATATTTAAGTGATTTTAAAAGTAGTAAAATTGTTGTCTGTACTGCAGTATTTGTAAAGAAATTGATTTACTCTTTAATCATTGTTCTTTCACGGTAATGATTATGAAACATTTATTTGTGTCATGTAGCAATACTAAACATGGAATAGAAAACAGAAACCCTAAATTAATTTCCCCTAAAACGGCAAAATTGAAAATGTTTCAGGCTCTGATTGACTTAGCTAGCCTGTCCAATGAACGTGCACATTCCAGATCACTTCGATTTGTATGCTGTAAAAAGGGTTACGCCTCGACGCGGCAATTTTAAAGTCAAATGTTATTCTTTTGTAAAGAGCCTTTGTATACATATAAAGAACCTGTAGCAATCTTTTAGTATGATAGATTAAGCTTTTTAACACAGTGGCACTCGTTGATAAAAAATATTTTTATATCCTGTTTTCATACCCACGGTAACCGTTTTCGTGAACTGGATATAACTTCGTTAACTTAAGAACACTATTAAACACTATCTATTTTATAATTGCATTTATTTCTGTTGATGAACTGCATATCTGACAAATTTAGTTAATTATATCAGTCAACTCAGCTTTATCAGAGAGCTCACCAATATACATTGTAAAGAGAGGAAGGGAACGGAATATTTGTGTTTTGAAAACATTAAAATCGAGTAGAACTTTTTAACAATAATGTCTCTTTCAACTGAATAAAAACGATAGGGCTATTTGGGACTATTTCTTATCGATGTGGCCATTGGCTGTAAATGCATGGATTATTGCACGCGGCATGACCTGCAAATGTCCTAAACAGGCTTTTTTTGTAGCATTTTAAGATTAAAAAAGGATCGCACATTAAAATCTAAAACATGATAAACGTGACGCATATACTAAATCAGTGAATTATCTGATATGTAAATAAAGAAGTAAGTCATTTGACAGTTGAAGGATAAGAATTGAAATTACTCTTCAAATGTAATCGTAATTTTACTAAGCTTATGTTAGCTATCAATTATTCAATGGACGCATCAGTGGCATATGGACCCCAGTCATAGATCTTGCCGATGTTGCTATTACAGATGTTAATGTAAATATATTTATATAATTATTGATAATCATTGTTATTTCCGTCTTGTTGAATGTTTTGTTTCAAGAAGTTTGATTTTGATGCGATGGATGTTGGTTTTGTAAAATCATTTATCTGTTAACTATTTTCTACTTTGTTTACTCCACATGGCGTCCATTCTCGTTCTTATTCATGGCTATTTTGGGTCTTTTTGATAAATAGAGATTTATAAGTAATGCAACTAAGTAACAATTCTATCAGATTTACAAGGCAAAGTTCCAAGTTCAAATTGTGTTTTAGTTTATCAAAACTCTATAGAACTTTATTATACAACAACAATTCCAGTAAAAATATATACCTTTTAAAAGTCTCTCTTTTGAGGACAGAAGAACCTGTTCGTCACATTCACGAGTGTCAGTGTTTGTCAGAATAAACTGAAAAAATACCTTTAGCTTAACAACACTCGCGTTAAAGTGTAACCCTTTCCATATCATACAAAAGTGTTTTTATATTAACTCTTTCTCTCACTGAGAGCACATATATTTCTTATCAATTTCGCCTTTGTGAAATAGAATAAAACACATTTAACTACATAGGAAAAGATGAGCAATACTTTAAACATCTTCAAAACGAAACCAAACATTATTTTCCGACAAGACTAAATCTACGTGATTTGACGTGCACTATTGCGATACAAGTAAGTGTTGTTGCTTTAAAGAACAATCAGTTTTTTCATAATCTCTCTGTGAAAGATCAACAGTGAAAAACTAAATTGTAGAAAGAGAACGGTAGGCATGTTGCTTCGCATTTGCAACGGATTCTAGAATCGGCTTTAAACTGTAGTCCTTTTTTTCGACTTGAAACTGGTGCCAGATTTGACAATTGAAGTAAAATGTAAGATTTATGTCATTCATAATAAAAATATGAACATATTTAGGTAGAGTTTTTTGCCTTCCGTACTCCCGGTTGATGTAAACCTTACTTTTTAATTATGGCGTAGACCAGATAATGCCAGAAAAACGAAATAGCTTGCAACTGAAGCCCGCTCTAATACAAGCAACTTCCAAGGTTAGGCAAAGTGTTTGATAAAACGGCTTATATACTGACGAAGATCCAATATTCTATGGAAAGCTTATATTTTTCCCCGTAGACTGGTGCATATCCCAAAGAAATTGGTACAGAAATAAAATATTTACGGCTATTTTCTTTTCCGAATCGAGCAACATTTGTCTTGGAAATGATGCCGAAAATGACGTCAATGTCACATGGTATTGCCACACTGATTTTGGGAATTTAACATTGGAAATTGGGAATTTTAATGTCTATTTTCTATTGGGAATGGTACTGTGTTAGGGTAGTAGTTATATAAAGAAAAAAAAACACTGATGCTTGTGCAGAGCAAAACTTCTTCATTCATGAAGGAATTTAATATTAGCTCAAATTAGTATTCAGTGAGGCGAAGTGTTGTGCACTAATGATAAAAAATGATCATTCACGGTTTATAGCAATGTTCTGTTGCTTTTAAATCTTTAGAATATTGTTGTTTCATATCCAGTATAGCATTTAATTTGAAATTTTACTTTGTGGAAGCTACTTTTCAGATAAACATAACCATCTTAATTAATTAATCATAATATCTGAAATAATTTCTTATATCTTGTATGTTCAGTGTATCCCTATATATTTTTTTTTATTGTCCCCCGCCTTTTCGAAGAATAAAGGGGGATATAGAATTCATTATTGGGCTCCGTCCATCTGTCTGTCCGTACAAACCCAGAGGTACTTGTGTGACTTGGAGAACAATTGGTAACAGTAATTCTCTTTGATCCTATTCATTAGGTTTTTACTTGTGGTCTTTTTTTTTAAGCCTTGTGTGACTAAAAATGGCTAAAAAGATCAAAGGAAAAGTCACATTAGTACCATTTTGTAAGTACGTCCAACAATCACACGTGTCCGGTCCATAACTTGTCATTTATCAATGGAATCTGACATAACTTGGCACACATTTTGTTATAATAAGACAATGCTTCACGCCCAACAACCAGACCCCTACCTCCAGGGTCAAGGTTGCACTTAGTCATTCAAGGTCAACATTGTCTATTTGAGGGTGTATGTTGTGTCCGGTCCATAACTTTCTTATCTTTGAAGGGATTTTGTAAATACTTGCCACAATTGTTCACTATAATGAGAGGATGTGTCATGTGCAACAATTAGTCACCTACCTCCAAGGAGAAAGTCACACTTGGAGGTCAAAGATTAACATAGTCTTTTACAGGGTATATTTTGTGTTCGGTCCATAACTTTTTCATAGATCAAAGGATTAGTCTGTTTTAGGGTATATTTTGTGTCTGATCTAGAACTTCTTTGGGATTTTGAAATAACTAGGCACAAACAGTCACAGTAACAAGACAATATGTAAACTACAACACCTGCACCCCTACCTCCAAGATCAAGGTCACACATAGAGGTCAAAAGTTAACAGTCTGTTATATACCAATGGTATATTTTGTATCCCGCCCATAACTTCTTCATATATTTAGAGATTAAAAAATACTTGGCACAAATAGTCACAATGATAAGATGATATGTCATGCGTAACAACTGGTCACCTAT